ACAGACAACCTGTGCTCACCCTGAGAGCCAAATGAGTGAGCTCTTGAATCAAAAGCAGTGAAAGGAGTCTTGCCTGCAACACAACAGGCAAAGACTACTTTAAACAGATGATCAGAATCTGTTGCGTGAGGCAGGGGGTTTAAATAGTAGATATAGGAGAAAGGATAAAAAGACAAGGTTTGGTCAAATAGTGCCTGAAGGAGTTAAAGTCTAAAGAGAGTGTATAGGTAAAAGCAGGATTTACTGAGGGATAAAGCCCTAAATTCAAGAAGCAGGAGGATTAAGGGAAGTTGGAATTACAAGCAAGCAGCAGGGAAAGTGTGAACACATTGTGGCTGTTGTAATTAATGTTAGAAAACAAATTATGTATGAATGGTTGACTGAAAAAACCCTTAATTTGCCCTGTAAACTTTCATTCAAATCATAATTAAAAAAATAATAAGACCAGGTGTGCTTATTAGTTTTTTTTTTTTTGGTATTAGATTTTATCTTTACCTAGACACAAAACTATTGATGTAAGGAAATATTTTGCTTATTTAAAAAATCTGATTTTTCTAGGAAAGGCAATAATGAAAGGAATGTCTGCTAAGCAGGAGTTACTCAAGTTATTTTTGAGGGGCCTGAGAGAGAGGAAGGGGACAGAGAGACAGAGCATTCCAAGCAGAAAGAAAAGTATGTGCAGAGGCCTGGCGGGTAGAGAGCATGCACACTTAGGGACCCTTGGGCTGGGGTGGGGTGTGTGTAAGGTGTTCAGTGGGGCTGGATCTTGCCCAGAGCAGCAGGAGAGATGAACCAGGAGAGTATGCAACATCTGGTCATGGAAGACTTGGTACTGAGATGGGGTGAACCTGGACTTGGGGAGTAAGACCCTGAGTGTATAGAAGTGTTGACAGGTGATTGGATAGAGGGTTCTGGAGACAGGGGAGAAAGCCAACCCGGACAATAGATGGAAGTCATCAGTTTATGAGTAGTAATTGAAGCCATAGACACAGAGGAGACTGCTGTCTATGGAAGAGAAGGAAATCACAATAGGACCCTAAGAATATACTGACGGGTTGACAGAGGAGGAAGACCCAGAAACAGGGCTGGGAAGTGGCCAGAGGCAAACGGAAAAAGAGTGTGGTAAACACGAGGCCGAGAGCACTCCAGGAACACAGGGCACAGTCAACAAGGTCACTGGGGAAGTAAACTGAACTTGCAGGCAAGGGGAAAGATGAATGTGCGTGCTGGGACCTCCAGGATCCGGATGGCAGGAAGTCATATTTCTTACATGGTAACAATCGTTTTCTCTCTGAGAGATGGTAGGGCAAGGAATTGGGGAAGTCTGAAATAGTATTCACAAGGAAGGAAAAGGACTGATTTGAAAATGATGGGCTAAGCACATGAATCACCTTAAATATCAAAGAAGACCAAAAAACCCAACAAAACAAAAACCAAAAAAATGGAAACAAAAACCCAAAACAAAAAAACCAACCCCAAACAACTAATATAGACTCATGTTTGAGAACAAGAAGGTAAGCTCTACGTGGACCAGAGTTCTGGAGAGTCAGAGAATGAAAACAGGGCAGATGGCACAGCTTGTAAGTGAAAGAATCCGTTCCATAATTAGTTACTGCACACCTACTATGTGCCAGGCACTGTTCAACGTACTGCCTTCTGCAGAAAAAGATAAGCACAATCTGAGAAGGGTAGAGGGGGTGGTGGTATAGGAAAATACATTCGGATAACCAGGGTTCAGTGGAGGAGAAAGGCCAAATTATTTGCAGAGGCAGTAATCTAAAGAATTAGCAGCACAGGTAAAAGAACGTAAGTTGATTGACCTTCAATTGGCATTTTACTGAATGGGAATGATGAAAGATAAAAGGCCAAGGGGCATGAGGAAATTAGCAAGAAAGCATTTCAGCCAGTTAATTTTGAGCTGGACTTGTAAATCACACATGTGATCTAATTGGACTAATTGATCAGCAGTGACGATGTGGGATAGAACACTGTCTCATAGGTCAATCATGTTTTGGAGAGGCTTTCTCAAACGTTAAGGAGCCCCAGCAGCGTAGTTCAATGCAGATTCTACTTCAGTTTAGCTGGGACTGTGCATTTCTAATGAGTTGGGAATGAAGGGGGTATGGGTTTCAATGCAGTCAACTTCAACTGGTAGTGACCCTTCAGGTCAGAGGAGAATTGCCCACAGGGCTTCCTAAGACTGTTACAGGAACAGACGACTTGGCCTCTTTGCTGAATGGCTGGGAGGATCAAACCACAGACCTTTCAGTTGGCATCTGAGCGCTTAACTGTGGTGCCAACAGGCCTCCTATTCTTTGAACAGGGAGGCTTTATAAGTGTTTGCCTTACAGTATAGCTTCCCAGCAGTATGCTGGTAGAGCGTGCTGACATCCTATTGAGAGTATGAATCACACTATGGAAAATGCCCACTCTACATATCAGGGTTTTCCTTTTGTGAAGCTGGTTGGTAATGATTTACCAGCTGGCTAAACCTATGTAACAGTGAGGCGTGCTGCACTATGCAGATAGTGTCAGGGATCATGAGAGCAAGCTTGGAGTTGGTCTCTGTGTGTTGTTCATACTTGATAAAGAGGCCAGCAAACCTGACTGCTATATGAAGGGCCTACTACAAGGCATTAAAGGAACTGATTTATCTCTGGTTCATATGAGTCCCCAAGAGAGGCAAATACTTGATGTCACTAAGTACTTGTCCTAAGGAGGCATCTAGACAAGTTGGGTTGTGGGAAGAGAAGAAGGACTGAGAGGTTGCTGTGGGCAAAGGTCAACTTGCTGGAAGTTCTTAAGCACATCACACTACATCGGGTTCTCTGCGCATCTCTGGGCAGCAGGCTGGCACTGGGATCGGTATGCCTCACTCGTGTCAGGTTGCCCTTTGTCAAGAGTCTGGACTGTGCTACTACACGGATACTTTTCCTGAAGTTGTAAAATGTGAAAAGTGATTCTCAACAGTAGTAGAAGGGAACAGGTCCACTTCTACAAGATATGCTTTGCAAATTGCTCTTTAAAACAGAGGGCAGAGTTTTTAAAAAAGAAAGCATACATAAAATACGGTCTGAGACAATCAAATGAATCCTTGTTGAGGACAGTTTGAAGAGAAGATTCAAAAAAGGGAGTCAGTCTCCTATTCTCTGACCTGTGGGGTTATGCAGTTTTAATTTCCTCTCTCTCTTTTTCTATTTCATGAACCAGCTTAAGGCCACAAATATCCTTCTGAATCCCTCAGCTGTCTGGCAGATGAATTGCTGCCAGTTTTGCTCAGGTTACTAACTCTCTATGCCAGGCTGAAGTTCCACCACTCAGACTGAGTGCACCTTCTGAGATGCTTGCTGATGGAGCCAAGATGTTCTCGGGACCTCTGAGGAAGGTGACTGGCGGTCCAGTCCACTCCTCAAGCCCTTGAAAGAGGGGGGCTCCTTGAGAGCAAGTCTAGCTAGTGACACCAGGCTCCAGTTTATGTGACTCAAGTGGGCAAGTGACCCCAGAGCTGCAGGAGAAAAGACTGCTGTACACAAGGCCTGACCAGTTCCAGATGAGTCGCCATCAGCTCACAGCAATGCCGTTTGAATGCCAAGTAGAAATGTGCTCCCTTGGGTTTCCAATGGGTGCTTTTTCAGAAGTAGGCCCATGGGTCTTTTCTTCTGAAGTACCTCTGGGTGAACTGGACCCTCCAATTTCATTTAAGCAGCTGAGTGGAACCCACAGACACCATGAGCAAGGTTTAGCAAGGGAAACGTTTCTCTCTCTTAAGCTATCTTTCAAGGAAAACAGGGTTAGAGCCCCAGAAAATTGCATGTAGGTGGTAAAATAATGGTATGATGACATGGTCCTACAAACTGGAGTAGTTTTCGAATTGAGGTGGAGTGCTGGTATGCACAAACCCCACATACCTAAAAGATGGAAGAAGTGACAGTCGAGGGAGCTTGTGTGATAATGTTGGGAATTTTAAACCCTGAAAAAAACAAGCTTCAACTCTCTACATTTGCTGGTCCTAATTTCTGTCCCAGGGTTTTCGGTCTCTCCTCACTGGGATCACTCTTCCAGGATGGCATAAGAATCAGGGACAGAAAAATTGACAGTCAAAGAAAAACAGTGTAAGGGAATTCAAGCAAGTTTGAAAGGAAAGGACAGGGAGCTGATTAGCCCAATAAAATGCTACTATCGAGCTCAGAAAGCTGCAAAGAGGCCTGATGGAGTCTTTCTCAGGGACAAAGGCTGGGCTGGAGCAGCACAGACACCTGGAATGGAGAGGGAATCTGGGAAACGGAGAGGCAGGCTGTATTGCAGTTGTGTGCAGCTGGAGGGACTGGAGTCTTTCTTGAGCGTACACCTGGGTGTACATGTGTGCACATGCACGTGTACATGCGTGGGGTCGGCCTGGGGCAGGGTTCACGCATCATCTAGGATGTTTTCCAATTGCTCTATGAATTTTAGGAAGTAACTCCAGTCTCACATCACTGGATCTTCTCGGATGCAAGAGTGCAAAAGGAAGCATAAGGAAAGGCTGTCTGAGGAGCTCAAACCAGGTTTCCCTGATTTACACTTGTTCCAGCAGGCTGACAGGCCCCACTGATCATCGCCAAGCTATAAAGCCCCAAGCATGCCAGAAGAAGGTGTGATACTTGGAGTTCAGTAGTGCCCAGTGTCTAAGGACTGCTGGAAAATTTAGTGACCCCAGGGCTATCCTTCCCCTTATGAAATTTTCCTTCTTGGAGACACTTACACAATTGTATTTATCCTGGTTGGGTTTTGGTTTTGTATGTGCTATTTCATGTGCAAAGTGTCAGTTCCACTGGTAACTAACTCCCCTTTTTCCCAACAACAGGAACTTCCAAAATAGGATCAAGAGGGGACTAAAGAAACAAATGGTTAAAACAAACATCTATCTGACTAAGCAGCTCTGTATCAACAGGCAACAGGTGCCATCATAACAAAGCCAGGCTGAAAATCTAATGTCAGTTTTTACCTGTTCCAGATCCCACAACGTCCCGGCTTGGTGACTCTGCCATGGCATCAGCAAGCCGCTCCCGGAGGCCCTCCTCTGTGTGCTCCATGGAGGACATGTGCCGCAGCCCGAAGCCCTCCGGCCAGCTCCCGCACACCTCCAGCAGGGTCATGCTCCGGTCAAAGGTACCTGTGGAGCACAGGGGACATCGACATTGAGTCCACACTGTCAGAGGGTAGGCTTTTTCTGCTCACCTGCCACTAACTCCTCTCTGGGCGGTGGGTCCCTTTTGCAGGATGAATGCAGGAGAACACTGTGACATGTGTAACATGGCAGATACAGAATACAATGCAATGCTCCAGCGGTCCTGGGTCAGGAAGCTCATGGGGGCTCCCTTCAGGTCACTCATGAGTGGGTTTTTTTTAAATCTTCAGCATTCCCCTGAAGTCCTCTGGGACTTCTTTAGGAGCTGAGATTGGGACAGGGAACTCTCTTCCTCAATCCAACCAAAACACCCACTTTTCTCTGTGTGATACAATGGTACTCTCCCTAAAATACCATTTAAAGAAAAGGTTATATTGTTTAAGTCGGGGAGGGAGAGGAAAGGAAGCTTTCTAAACCTCTACATCCTATATCTAATATCTTAATTTTACAGCTGAAGTAATAGATCAAGATCAAACAAGCAATTTTGCTGCTAACTTGGTCCAAGATGTTAGATTTCCTGACTCCAGCCTGGAACTTGCTCTACTCCACAATATACAGTCTCCTAGTCACCCAGGGACATGCACATAACTCAGGCGCCATCTTGGAGATGCCCGCAATCCAGTTGGGTGATAGCATCTTTAAGTAAGGCTCTTGCTTTAATCTGAAGCTATGCCCCAATTCCAAAAAGGACATGATGTTCTGCTGAATGCCAAGATTAGATTTTGCATGCAAGATCACTTCAAAGTCCAAATTTAAACCCTTCTACTTTATTATACAGCAAGTCTTCTGTGAAAGCTTATTTCATCCACTCTCCTTTAGAAGGAGATTATAGTCATGCTCTGTTGCTTTAAGCACATACCATTTCCCCAGCGATTAGGTAACTGAATCCACGGCATTTATTGGCCTTGGTTCCTGCCAGCCCTAGGAAGACTGGGGGAAAATGCAAATGCCAATGTTTCCCAAAGTTAAAAGTACATGAAGCACATACTCTTTATCAGGCCTTGCTTCTCCTCTTTGATCAGCCGTCAGAAACTATCTTCCCGAGGCTGTCAGGACTGGGCAGTGTCAGCACACACTCTCTGCCAATGACAGGTGGTAATAGAGAGGGTGCGAGCCCCGGCCCCGGCAGGCGGCCCTGCCTCTGATAATGGCCAAAGCACTGAGGTGATAACCATTAGTAAACACTCCGACAGCCGGTGACTCCATACATCAGCAAAGAGGGCCAGATAATCCTGAACTCTCCCGACCAGACAAAGGCTCTTGGCTGGCCCGTGGGGATTTATACGTGGCAAGGGTCACTACTGGCTCCTGAATTTCATCAGCCAAGCTTGGTTTTTTGATTTATCTCTTGACTAATTGGTGGGTAGATTCCTTGGCACTGGGAGAATGAGAAGCAATGAGAAGCATCTATATCTTTCCCAATAAGGGGCCCACCCGGGGGAGTGAATTCCTTGAGAAGAGCCTGTCAGGTGGGATGTAGAGGTAAGGATAGGTGCCCTATGCCACCTCTCTCTCCATCACGGAGGCTCAGAAGGTGGAGCTGAGGAGTCAGGTAGACTGTGCAAGAGTCATGCATGGGCAGTGCCACACCCAGAGCTGACACTCAACCAACATTTAAAACGACCCAAAGGGACTCAGGTTTCAAAGAACAGATAGCTTTTGATAGAACCACTTATTCAAGGACGACAGAGAAAAAGAAATGCTTTAATTATGATGCTAGAGAAGAGTATTTACTATACCATGGACTTGGAAGTCTTGTTCTTTTGGAAAATAACAAACAAATCTGTCTTGGAGGAAGTGCAACCAGGGTACTCCTGAGAGGACAGAACAGTGAAATTTTTGTCAAGAAGGGACAATTTCTTGGAAAAAAGACATCATGCAGGGAAAGACAGAGGGTCAGAGAGAGGAAAACCCTCAACAAAATGGATCGATACAATGACTATAACAATGGCCTTGAGAGTATCAGAGGTCATGAAGATGGTGCGGGATAGAGCAAGCCTCAGGTCTGTTGTTGACAGGGATGCAATGAGTTACACTCAACTCTACGGCACCGGCACCACCACCACCACCTACTCATTAAGTGATGTTAAGTAACACCTCCCTTTCCATCTTTTAAGGAACTAACAATGTGCCCTGTCTCCTAAGGAGTGAAGAGACTGGAAGCAAAGTTCTTGCCAAGATTTTGTGCTTTCCTTTAGTGTTACCTCCATCTTATTTGTTGAGTTTAAGAGTTACAGCTCTTGTTTTGTTCTGAAGGGTCTGTCTCAGACACCTATACTTTGTGATCTACAGAGTAGGGAATTGTAATAAAATGTGAGTACTTCCCCTGCCTGTATATCTGAGCAGGTCACCTCTTTAGGGGTAGAGAGATCTCAGGGCCTGTGGCAAGATCAGGCCTCTAAAAAAAGGAGTGCAATCAGGGTTTGTCTGCACTCTGTGGAGAGCAGATGTGAGGTGAGCTGACAGCTTGGAGGAATATCAGAGCCAAACTGGGGGAAACACACACATACCCTAAAAAAAATTATTGTAAGAAGAGTTCAGAAAAGAGAGTGGGTCCAGCCCATGACAGATAGTAAAGCTAGAGGAATATGTAATATCTGAAGGGATAAATCAATTATAGCAGAAGAAAAATCAGAAGCTAATGTTACAGTGACAATGTAGTGCATAATGTGTTGGGCTACTAATGTAAAATTGGTGGTCTGAATCCACCAGGTGCTTAAGAGAAAGATGGGCAGTTACCTTCTATAAATATTTATAGCCTCAGAACCTTGATCAAGGGTCAGAATAGACTTGATAATAGTGAGTGGGTAAAGCTGTATTTGTTGTGGTTGTGTATCATGAGTCAGAATTTGCCCACAGCTGACCCTCCAGAGGGTTTTCAGAGGCAGTAATCGCACGGGAGGAGATTGCCCATCTTTCTTCCATGGAGCAACTGGTGGAATCAAACCACATGTCTTTGGAATTGCAGTGTAGCTTCTTATCACTAGGCTACCAGAGCTCCCTTGTTAAGTATGATAGTATTAGGATAATGGATTTAAATACATTGTTATTGTTGTTATGGACTGTTGAGTTAGAATGGAATCATAGCAGACTCTCCAGTGGGTTTTCAGAGGCAGTAAAGAGCATGGGAGGAGAATGCTCATCTTTCTCCTGAAGGGCATCTGGTGGATTTGAACTGCACGCTTTTGGGTTGGCAGCACAACTCCTCACCACTAAGCCATCAGAGCTCCTGACTGAAATATAGGCTGTACCACATCAGCTGTATCAACCAAGGCAGTATCTTTATCTTTCTGAACCTCCAATTCCTCATCCATAAATACAGAGGCAATTTGATCCTACAAGGCTGTTGTGAGGATGGCATTTGATAGTTGCAAAAGCTCCTGACTAGTTAAGTTCTTAACATATGTTAATAATAATAACAACAAAGACAGACATAAAATCTGTGAAAGCTGGAAGTGGTGTACATAGGAACCCTGTCAAAGAAGGAAAAAAATTCACATATTCCACTAAAACAAGATAAAACAACAACGGTAAGACAGCAAATCTGTCAAAGAAGGAAGACTTTTAAGGCCTTGAAAAAGCAAGACAGTCCTACTGAGTGTTAGCTGACAGGTTTTACAGTAACTTTACATCACGTGAAGCATCATTATACATTTTGACCCTCACAGTTGGGCCTGAGACAGTATGAATTTATTACATGATTTACAGAGGAGAAGCTGTTAACTCAGAGAGGTTAAGTGACAAGTTCAACCTCTAAGGTACACACCCAGAACACAGTAACCTGATTCTTAGCTTGGAGCACATTATATCAAGCCAGATGCTGTTTCCCTTAGCACCATTTCCACACAGAACTGGTACATGTGGCAATCACCTCTACCCTTCCTAAATGGTTTTGAGAACTTCTGTCCCCTTCAACTAATGCCTTTAAAATAATCTTTCTCATTTTCAAACAGCCCAAGTTCCTTGGAGTATCATTGTGGTGGTGATGAGTCACTCTGTCTATTGGCTGGCATACAGGAGGGAAAAAAAAATCAATGGAAGATCTATTCTCTGTTAGTATGGACGCTACTAGGAGGCTGAGGGTCGGAGTGGGTAGATATAAATGATGCATAGCAAGGTGCCCCGGATCATTTCTATAGTCCTGAGAAGCCACAGAGAAAATACCATCAGCGGGATGGCTTATCCTGCTAGAAGGAATCCTAGCAGAGGTGAGCCTGCCTTCTCATCCTTCCTGTCCACTCCTGCTAGCTGGGAAGACAGCAGGAGAGGTCGTGCATTTCCCAGGCCTGGAATGAGAGCAGGACTGCAGGTGTTCGTGTGGCAGCAGGGTCTGGGGCTAAGAGGCCAAGCCCTTGGAGGGTGAGGTCACCTCTGGGCTCTTAGGAAACAGCCTTTTTTTCCTGCTCATCTTGTCAGCATCAACGGCACAGCTATCATTCATCTGGCCTGCACGGAGACACTCCATCAGATGGGCTGGCCCTTTGAGTCCCATTAATGGGGAAAGGGTCAGTTTCAAAAGGGAGAAGATGCTCACTTGGTGCAGGCCGTGTGTGAAGCACAGAATGTATGTACTTAGCAACAGTGGGCTTTTTGCTGAGGCAATGCTCTTCTGTTTACAAAGCCCTCTCACGTTTATTCTTTCCGTTAACTCACACATTCATCAAATATTGATTAGTGTCCACTGTGCTATGAGTCAAGTGCTGCAGAAAGAAATGAGAATACAGGGAGAAAAAGGAAAAAAGAAAAGGAGCTCATGGCCCTTTATAAAACTTGGGGGCTTATCACCATTTTTACAGTTTGCTATTTCACTGTGGCTGAGCGACGTGAGGTAAGTTAAGGTCACTGATTCTTAGGGAATAAGCTTCCCTCAAGGCCTCCTGGGAATCCCTTCCTTCTGGGCTGCCTCCGGCCCCACAATTCTCTGAGTGCCGCCACCTTCCAAGATTCACCTCCAGCCTCACATGTTCAGTGAAGCCTTGAGTGAC